AAAAGGTTGGGAATTGGATTCTGAGACTGAACAAGTTCTGACCAAGTTGGTATGGGAAGGAAGTGATGATGATTTCTATGACTCAGACTTTGAAGAAGAAACTGATGAATCATCAGAAGCATCTGCTACTGATGAATCAAACACCACTACAGAACCAGTTACTCCTCTACAAACTGGTACTGGAGATCACCCTGGGTCAGAACTAGGGAAGGAAGAAGAAGCTGGCATAGATAGTTTAGATTTACCTAGCTCAAGCATGGGTCCTCGAGTGAGAAAGACACCTGCTCACCTGGACATATATGACTGTACATACTTCTCAGAAGCAGATTGGTGGGCTATGGTTGCTGTAGCTGGTGATCCACAGACTTATGAAGAGGCTGCTCAAGAAGAAAAGTGGAATGCAGCAATGAAGGAGGAGATGAAGTCAATAGAAAAGAACCAGACCTGGATTTTAACTACTTTGCCACCAAATGTGATTCCAATAGGTCTCAAATGGGTTTACAGAACCAAACTAACTGAGACTGGTTCTGTGGACAAGTTCAAAGCTAGGTTGGTGGCTAAAGGCTACTCACAAAGGGCTGGTATTGACTACACAGAAGTGTTTGCCCCTGTGGCAAGATGGGATACAGTTAGGACACTCTTGGCACTAGCTGCTCATCATGGACTAATAGTCTATCAGCTGGATGTCAAGAGTGCATTCTTGTATGGAGAACTGGAGGAGGAGGTTTATGTTGAGCAACCTCAAGGGTTTGAGGTTGCTGGGGAGGAAAACAAGGTATACAAGTCGAAGAAGGCACTCTATGACCTCAAACAGGCTCCAAGGGCCTGGTATTCCAGAATTGAGACTTACTTCTTGAAGAATGGATTTGAGAGGAGTACTTATGAACACACACTGTTCATAAAAAGAAGTGATGAAGGAAAGATTCTTCTGGTCAGTCTATATGTAGATGACATAATCTACACAAGCAACTGCTCAAAACTGATTGCTGAGTTCAAAAGGTCAATGCAACAGGAATTTGAGATGACAGATCTAGGTTGCATGAAATATTTTCTGGGGGTGGAGATCAATCAAACAGACAAAGGGATCTTTATTTCACAACAGAAATATGTCAAAGAAATCTTAGAGAAGTTCAACCTGAGTGACTGCAACTATGCAAGGAATCCAATTGCTCCTGGAATGAAACTGACAAAGGCAGGTGATGGGATTGCAGTAAATCCAACTGAGTACAAGCAGTTAATTGGCAGTCTGCTCTATGCCACTGCAAGTAGACCTGATGTTATGTATGCAGTGGCCTGCTGAGTCGTTTCATGGAAAACCCAACCAGACAGCATATGTTAGCAGCAAAAGGGGTTCTTAGATACCTCAAAGGTACTCTGGGGCATGGAATCTGGTATCAAAAGGGAAGCAAAGAGGGCTGTTTAGTGGGATATACTGACAGTGATTATGCTGGAGATCAGGATGATAGGAAAGGCACAAGTGGGTATGCATTCTTTCTGGCTGGTGGGGTGATTTCTTGGGCCTCAAAGAAGCAACCAGTGGTTACTCTCTCCACCACAGAAGCAGAATTTGTAGCTGCTTCATACTGTGCAGCACAATGTGTCTGGTTAAGAAGAATTCTGGAACAGATGGGATGGGGAAGCAGTGTTGAAGGTGCCACAACAGTGTACTGTGACAATAGTTCCACTATAAAATTGTCAAAGAATCCAGTACTTCATGGCAGGAGCAAGCACATAGATGTCCGTTTCCATTTTCTCAGAGAACTGGTGAAAGAAGGGGTGATTGAAATGATGCACTGTGGTACTGAAGAGCAAGCAGCAGACATTTTAACCAAGCCTCTCAAGTTGGAAACATTCGAGCTCTTAAGAGCTAAACTCAGAGTGGTAGAAGTTGCAGGCCGGGACAAAGAGAAGAAGAAGAAGGCTGAAGTTAAGATGAACTGAAGGAAGCAGACAGGCTTCAGTTCAGGGGAGGATTTGTGAGCTGAAGTGCAGGCAGAAGAAGGGTGGTGAATCCGAATCCGAGTAGGAGAAGGATTGAAGGCCAGAAGCGGGAAGTCTAAGGTTTAAATAATAGAGTAAAACGGCTGTCGTTTTACTTGAGAGTCTAGTCTGTCTTAGTGTCAATTTGGTCCCTGTATTTCTGTTTGGTATCAATTGAGTCCATCTGAGTCTTAAGCATTGCAGAATGCTGGGTGGTTAAGGTAGCTGGTTTATAGGTTGATTAGTTGAGTCATGGGAGCTGGAATCACGGGGTTAGTGGGTTGAGTTGAGGACTGAGATCGAGGCCAAAACTTCTGTATTTAATCTTTTCAAAGTTCAAATCAATAAACTGTCAGTTTGCTCCAAAGAGTTTCACATTGATGCCGGCACAGCTTCCCCCGCGGTAGCAGCTATGATTGATTTTGTTTGTTTAGTTAATTAATTCCACCGCCGGTGTAGCTTCCCCGCCGCAGCAGCTGCCTGTTTTTGAGTTTTGAAGGGGACGAGTCGGAGCAGAGGAGTAGAGAAAGAGGACGTGTGGTGTGTAAAGAATAAGACAACAAGAGGCAGCAGCACCAAGATGTAAGAATTGAAAAGAAAAGTGGGCCAGTTCGCACCCCACAGTTCCCAACTCACAAAAATGGGAAAGCAAATAGCAAAGTGTTGTAGGCGTGGATCTTGACACCCGAGAATATCGCAACAGAATGTGGTTAAGAATAGAAATAGGGAAGAAGTAGACAATATTTGGGGAAGAAGAGCAAGAACTAAGCCGGCGGCCGATTTAGGAAGAAGAGAGAAAAATAGGGTTGGGAGATACGTAGAACTATTTTTTGATTGTTTCTTGACTGCCTAATAACTGAACAACTAAAGTACAATATATAGGCTATAAACTAAACCCTAATCACTAACTAATTAATAAATCCCTAAAATACCCTTGTCACATACACGTACCTCCAACACAAAGTGGGCCAGTTCCCACCCCCAGTCGCCACCATTAGTCATCAGCACATCCGGTAATCGGCTACCCGGATAATAACCACAACCGCAGCAATTCGGCAAACAGTTTACTCATGGAATTCCGGTATCGGCAAACGGTGGGGCCGACATGTTTTCCGGTAGGGGTGGAAATTGGGGTGGGTGTGCTTACCCGCCCCACATTTTGCGGATAACCACACTCACAAATATAGAATTATGCTACTCACAACCCGCCCTGCAGTGGGTAGTGGTTAACCACAACCCACTGCGGGTTGGTGCGGGTTGGATGTGGATACCCACAAAATTTTCGTTCATTTATCCTTCGGACTCGTATATGATAAACCTATCGGTCAAGTGTCGGAAAAAATGTACATTGAGTTAAAACTAAGTAAACAAGCTCAAGACATGGAACGAGCGAGGATCCGGTATTCGGAACCTCCTAAGTAGTCAACCTCCCTCTCATCGGTTCACTTCACTCGCTTACAGGTCACCTCACTTTCTTTAGGAAATGCAGATTGATAACGAGTATGGGTTGGAGGGGATCTAATCTAAATATACATAGCATCTTTATCAGCGACATGACTCCTTTGCTTTTTTATTCCGAATTTTTTAGGGATAAATGAAATTCTCTCCCGAGTTATCGAATTAGCGTCTTCTTACACAAAAACAAAAACCTACATAAAAGAAAGTTAATAAAGTGTTAAATAAACTATAAACCATATTTATTGACTTAGTTTTGTTATCAAATAAACACATACCTCGTGGACAATGCTTATTTAATAAAAGTATCTCATACGAACACGGTGTATCCGCAATCCGCAAAACAAACTTCCACCTCTACTTCCCGATGTACCAGACAGGTTATCGACCGTTTACCAGCCCTATTCATTTTATTCAACCTATTTAACTTGTTTTGGAGCTGGGCGGTTGTTGATATTCTCGAAGACTTTATCTGTCATGATCCGTCTCATTTTTGACATGTTTTCGCGAAACAATTTAGGATTTTACTTTTATTATTTCATATTTAAGCTATAATATTAAAGTTGTGTATATGTGAGAACCGCAATCTCGTGGTAGTTTGTTGTTTGATTTTTTTAATGAAAATAGTAATATTTCTCATGTTTATTTTTTTCTTTGAATTACATAATCTATGGATCGATCTACTCCATCTGCACTCCATGATAAATTACGTGATCTAGATCCAAACTACCACAAGGTGAATATGGATATCGAGATACCAATGGCTCATTGCAATTCCTATATCACCTCATGGTAATTATAGAACCTAAACAATAAACATCCATTTTTCTTTACCTAAGGGCCCGTTTAGTATTGTTGCTTGTTTTTGTTGTCTGTTTTGTTTTATGAAATTTAGAAAACCAAGAAAAAAAATCGTGTTTAGTTGGGTTTTTATTTTCTGTTGTGAATCAGAGTTGCACAACAAGGCCCAAATATGAGAAACAACAATTTATTGCTTTGGATATGTTTCTTGAACATGTTGCACACGGGATTCCTACTAGTTGTGCACTTGATTTCATTAAACCAGACCAGTTTTCGAATCCCCATAGAAGCAAAAAAAAAATTTATTTTATTTTAAACACAGCCCCCCCCCCCCCCCCCCCCCAAACCCTTCCCTCACTCCATCTCCCAGCAGTAGGTAATTTCGACTTCTTCAAAGTATTATGTTAATCTACTCTTTCTGAATATGTTCATGAATTCGGCATGTATGTAGTGATTGCTAGATTAGTTATTTGTGAATCTGGATTGATTGCTATGTTCTTTGTTTTGTGGTTTACCTCAGTTATGGAGAAAATTGTTGAAAATGGTGATGTTGATTGTGTGGAGATTCAGAAAAATGATAATGGAGAAAATTTTGGTTTTTAGTTCTTATAGTAGTAACTACGCGTTTTTGTTTCTTGTTGTCAGCTTTCATGATTTTTCAGATTTACCAACTAAACAGGTTTGTGTTTTCTGTTTTTTTCCTGTTGTGGTTGTACGTCTGTTTACACAACACCACTGCAACCACAACAGCAACAAAATGATACTAAACGGGGCCTAAGTTATTCGAACATGTTTGGTTTCACCTCCAAGTGGTAAGGACTTCATTGTCATTTCCAATTGTCTCAAAATCCCTCTTTGTTTCTTCAAAATCCCCACTTAAAATTTAGGCCTCCATATGGAGCTTCCTCTATCTTTTTAGTCCGACTTGGAACAATTGTTTTGCTCTTCCTTTTGTTACTTCTCCCACCAGGCCCAGCAGTTGGCCTTCTGCATATAATTGCTACACTTGGTTGGTATCTGTGAGACTGACTCGCATATTTTCGCGCCAAATTTAGAAGAGTAATAGGGATCGATGAAATAAATGCGTATGCTGAATGGTTGGTTGGTATAGAAAAAGCGAACAACTTTTCGGAAATAACTAATTAATATAGAGCAGGGAGAAAGAAGACCAAGGCAGATCCATTGCACAAGGAAGGAGATGGATTCCGGGTTATCATGGGCGGATCAATGGGATTACAACGACGATCCTCCCCCGCAGAATGACAAGAAGAAGGGGAAAGATGGGAGCAAGAGCAGCATTGGGAAGAAGTTTCTTAGCTTGAAATGGATGAAAGATTTGAGGAAGAAACCTGCTTCTGCTTCTGCTTCTCATAAGGAGGGTGAATGAAGCTCTAAGGCCCAGAAGAAGAAGAAGAAGTTAGAAATGGAAAACAGTCTCTTCCCTCTTTTCTTTTCCCCTCCCTTTGTCATCCATTCATCTTATTCTTGGGTGACAATCAAGTAATCATCGAACGAACATACATCTTGTGTTATTCATGTTTCAAAACAAAAATTGATTATTTTCTTGTTCATTGAAGAATACCATTAATGTTTGGAGGAATGCAATATAATTCTGCATACAGCTCATTTATAATAGATCATTCATCGTTACAATTTTGTTTCGTATTTTTTGTTTTTATTTCAAAATAACGAAAAATAAATACATGAGATGATATTGAAGGGGGAAAAAAAGAAACTTTCAATCACCTGAGTAAATCTTTCACTCACTTTTGATTGAATTATCCAAAACGAGGGCATAGGGTAACTGGTCACACATGAAATCCAATGAAGAACATGCTGACCAATGATCGAGTCGTATGAAACCACTAATATATCTTTTTTATGCGTTTGAAGTTTGAACAGATCCATAAATAAGAGAAAAGTTTAATTTGTTAGTGTTATGGTATATGATCCACGATTGAATCTCTCCCAACAACTCGAGTTATTGGGACCAACTGGTTATTGACATTGTATCAGAGCCTTCTGTGACCGAGAGGTCTTGTGTTCGATTCCCAGTGACCCCATTTGTTAAGCACAAGAATTGAAACATAGGTTTTTCATATGGAACTAAAATTAACACAGGATTAATAAACGAATGTATGACAATAGGAGAAGACCAGATTTCTCTCACCTAAAGAATTCAACAAGGCCTGCAATTTCCCTACACTGAAGCTTGCATTGAGCAGCTAACTTGATACTTTTAGAAATGGCGAGCCCCGTCTGTTTGTGTGTAGATGCTGGCATATATGAATCAGCTTCTTTTTCTTTCCCCGCTTCAAGAGCTTCCCTAGCAGGAATCACATTCTCCCACCAAAACTCCTTCAACATCCCACACATTAGCTCCCAGTAATCACGGTCCCTGGGGACACGGAATATCGTGCTACCATTCGGCATCCAGCAATACAAATCTGCCCATTCTCTACCCATAATCTCCAGCTGACCTTGAACCTGAGGCATGTAATAGAAAGGCATGGTCGACCAGGGGAGACCCTGCTCGGGCTTCCCCTTGTTATAAGGACACTTCACTTCCAATATTCCACCTTCAGGAAAGCACCCAAGTAGACCATCTGGTGAAGCACCAAGCCAATCGAGCTTCTCTTGTGCATGGACTGCAAACCCTAGTGAGCTAACCTCACGACCCGTGATGCTTCTATATCGGTCGATGGCTAATGATTCATTGAGCACACCCCATTCCATTGCATTCTTTGAAGCTGGAACAAACTCAACTTCTGATGTAAAAACCTTTTCACGCCAGAGCTCTGGTCTTCGTTTCCCCTTCCAAAACCCCAAGGCGGTACTAAAAGTGCTTGTGGTCAGCTTGTCCTTCCTAAGGGCAAACCATTCCTCCGAGCGTTGAGGTGCATCTGATTGGGTGATGCAGGCGGATAAGGCTAGGGGTTTGAAAGAAGGTGTTGGAGATATCAACAGTTGTGAGCTGGTGAAAAATCTGCAGCCAGAGAGATTGGTGCAGGTCTTTGTGGAGGATGATGATATTGTTATTGTGACCCTCTTGTGGTGGATATGGTTGACTCTAGTAATGCAGGCATTGGTCATTGAAAAGAGTATAAGACTTTAGGCAGTGACTCGGTTTTGGTGAAACCCCGTCCTACAATAGCCGCACACTGCTTAAACTGTTAGAACACACATGAAGTACTTAAAAGATAAGGCAAAAACTACATATGAGAAACTTAGCTTGCAAAGCAGTTCACTTGATTCGGACTGTATAGTGTAAAACTATTAACGGCAGCAATCAAGAAACAGACGATCAGCCTTGCTCTATTCTCTAAGGGAAAGCAAACGGTTTTCATGCCCGAAACCTTTCATTCACATCAAAGGACTTAAATCTTTGCTCTTGGGAGACGCATTTTCAAGTAAAACAGCATAACCCTTTTCTACCACATTCATCCATAACTCGAGAATCTAATGGTTGCAAGAAATGACAAATTGGATATCTTAAGTTGCCCTTTCATTAAGTACCCTCATATTGTTGAAAGGCAGAGAATGCAAGGGAAAGGAAAATGGCAGCCAAACTCACAATTCATAGTGAATGGCTTGGCATACACATCAATCCCAAAAGCATAAGCCAAATGCAAGCTAGTTTTTTTTACAAGTATCCAACTTTGTCAAAGGCAAAAGCAAACGGGAGGGAACCACCCCGACCCCCTAGGAAGGGCTGAAACCATAGTTCAGGCAACCACGAGGCGGCAGTTTTATCATATCATACTTCCAGCTAATCAACCTATTTCCACATGCTCCCCAGCAAAACGCAAACAAATCCCACAAAATGCAGAGTTTCAAAGCTACAACCATTCAAAACAAAAACGATACAAACCCCACTTCTGGAAAAGCTCAGAAACGCACAAGAACATCACAAATTCTTCACAAACCTTGTATACATTGCCCAGGCAAAAAAGTGTTCGATAGAATACCTGGAAGAAATTTTTGGTTGCTGGAGTTGTTCTTTTGAGATAAAGAAGCTCTTGATTGCTGAGAAGTGACGTGAATTCGGTTCATCTCCGTCTATAGCATTTTGAAGGTTCGTCTTGGGAAAATAAAAATGGCGCAAAGGGATTGAGTTGAGGCCCGAGGGATCGGACACGACAGAGCCAGAGGCGCGCAGATGATGAAAGAGTCGACGCTGAGATATTTCCTTATGCTGCTGCCGAGGTTTCGCCTAAACGAGGTCGTTTGACCTTTGGCTTCTCGTCTCATCCTATTTCTTCACCTCTATTCTCCGCTGTTAATCCTCAAAGCCTAAAGCTTTTACTTCACGCACCCTCCTCCCTCTCTCTAAGATATTCCGCTCGCTTCCAAATCCAATTCTCCTCCCATCAATCTTCCGCCTCCATACTCAACCGACAGACAAGGACCAAAAAACAGAGCTCAACCTTCATCAATGGCTTCACTCCGCCGCCCTTTCGTCTCTCCTTGCTGAACCCACAAGTTAATTTCCAGTTCTCAACAAAACCCAGTTCCCAGCTCGGGGTAAAGCTGAATTTTGTGCACTAGATATGTATCTGTCGGAGAAGCCTCGCGCAATTGATTTCTACAAAGAAGAACTACCGCCGCCTTCTGCTTCGAGAGACAACATGATTATAGAAGTCGTTTCCCCTAATGGCGATTTGCAGCCACTTCCTCAGCAGCAGCAGCACAGTAATCATCCTCCGCCTCCCCCGCCACCTCAGCCGCAGCAAATGATTCTAGGGGAGAGCAGCGGGGAAGACACACATGAAGTGAGAGCTCCTAAGAAAAGAGCGGAGACTTGGGTACAGGACGAAACGCGGAGCTTGATTGCTTTGCGAAGGGAAATGGATTTGCTGTTCAATACATCTAAATCGAACAAGCACTTGTGGGAGGAGATTTCGTTGAAGATGAGGGAAAAGGGTTTTGATCGATCTCCGACCATGTGTACTGATAAGTGGAGGAATTTGTTGAAGGAGTTCAAGAAGGCTAAGCATCAGGAGAAAGGAAGCAGTGGAGGGTCTGCAAAGATGTCTTATTACAAAGAGATTGACGAGATTTTGAAGGACAGAGGGAAGAGTAGTCAGCCGTATAAAAGCCCCACTCCTACTTCTAAAGTCGACTCATATATGCAGTTTGCTGATAAAGGTGAGAAAGGGCTCCCTCTGATTTGTTACTAATTTCATCAAGACCTGTTCTTTCTGTGGGGCATCCATGAACTGTTCAATTGCTCATCTTTTGGCGTTTGGGTTGTGTAGTGTGATTTTAAATATTGGAATGGAAATGTTGGAATGAAGTTGTATTGGAGGAGCTGTTTTTGGCATGGTTTAGGACAGTTTCTAGCAATACAGTGGTAATGTTGAGGCTTTATTAATGCCTAGTGTGGTTGGCTATGGTAGCTGAGGAGACTAATCATCTTGGTTGTGAACTGTTGACTGACTGGTTTTTGTCTCTGACGTATCGGTTTGGCTGGCACTTTCAGTATTTCTCTTGCTAGAAGATGATTGTTCGGATTTTACACATTGCATCTTCTCTCGATTGATTTGCATGCCTGGTTTTCTCTTTGATCTTGCGTGAACTGGCTTGTGGTTGGTCGATGCAATGGCCATTTACCACTTATTTTGCCATTTTGGTATAACTTCTGCAATGTGTTCTTGTGCACATGAAGAACATCTCTTGACCAATTCCCCCTGACAGGTTTTGAAGATGCAAGTTTATCTTTTGGACCAGTTGAAGGTACTTCATTTTCGCTTTTGGGTGTGATTTTGAGTTGTCTTCCAACTTGATGCATCGATTGCTTGAAATAAGTTCAAAGTTGTATACCCGGGTGACCACCCATGTGTATTTGTTGTGTTTGAGATGTTTTTAGTAAGAATCACTTGTGAATATGATATATGTTCACAAAAAGGTTTCCTTCCCTTTGTAGATATTGGTTTAAGGGTCAAGCTGATCAATCCAAAGATGATGATCATTAATAATTTGGCATCGTAGTTGGGGCTCATACCCAAATGAAACCTCCATTCCTTAGACTACTGATTCTTGCATCAATATAATATCAATAGAATAACAGTCATTAGATAATAGAATCTCAGTTCAATTAGCAATTAAAATGCATCCTTTTGTCTTCCAACCAATACAATTATTGTTAATACTTAATGGTACTACACTTCACAAGTGAGTAAATAGTTACACAACATTGATAGTGAGATTTCAAGATAGTCTTCTATCTGTGCTTTGCACACTTTGGCTTATATGTGACGTATTGTTGTTATGTACATTAAAATATATCTCAAAGAGATATGTTATTTTCCCCTTCGTTTTAAGGTTCTTGGTGTGCAGCTAGTGGCAGGCCAACGCTGAACCTCGAAAGACGATTGGATCACGATGGTCATCCCCTTGCCATCACTGCAGCTGATGCTGTTGCAGCAAGTGGAGTTCCTCCTTGGAATTGGAGAGAAGCCCCCGGAAGTGGTGAGGATAGACGAGTCAAACATTCCATAAGTCAAAATCTTTTGTCTCATGTCTTGAGAGGAATTCTTTTTTTCTGTACTATTTTTACCAGGTGCTGACAGTCAGTCATATGGTGGGAGGGTGATAACAGTCAAGTATGGAGACTACTTGAGAAGGATTGGCATTGATGGAACTGCCGATGCCATCAAGGATGCAATTCGGTCTGGTTTCAGATTAAGAACTAAACGTGCATTTTGGTTGGAGGATGAAGATCAAGTAATACGCAGTCTCGACCGGGATATGCCGCTCGGGAACTACACTCTTCATCTTGATGAAGGTAATAGATTTATTCGTGTGTCTATTGCTAGTGCTATTAGAGGTGGCAAATGGGTAAATGGTTGCTGAGGATCAATGACATTTTCTTGAAGACCTGATGTGGTCATTTGTCAGGTTTAAGGGTTTTTGGAACGTTTTACAAGTCTGGGTAGTAAATTTTAAAATATTAGAAGTGGGTTAGTTTGTTAATAGCTTATAGTTGGCTTTAATTTCTGGACTGGTTCTTAAAATTGAAGTACTAACATGTAAGCCACAAAATACTTAGGTACTGAACCTTTGGCAAAAAATGTGTACCAAGTTTAGGTACAAAATGTTAACGTGCTGAACAGTGTTTAGCAGTGATCCATCAATTCAAGTCATTTTGCCCTCCAACCAGATGGATTTGGGTAAAGTGGGTTTGATTAAGATGGGAATTAAGAATGGATTACGAGACCATACCGTATATAAAACCGTTGGGGTCGAGAGTTCAAAGTATAATAGGTTATAACAGCAAAATCATGTTAGAACTGTGATGTAACTATACTGGCTTGGTCACCTGTATATATTTTAGTTGGTACGATACGGTATCACAAACACACATATTTATAGGTTGGAACGGTGGGTTGGGCTGATACTTGCCTCCTCTAGTTTGCAGCATTGAGCTATTGGTATATTGAAGCTTGTTTAGAACACTTTGGTTGTATCAGGTTTGGGTATAAAGGTATGCTTGTACGATGAGACCGACCACATACCAGTGCACACTGAGGAGAAGCTTTTCTATACCGAAGACGACTACCGGGACTTTCTAAACCGACGTGGATGGACATGCTTGAGGGAGTTTGATGGTTACAGAAACGTTGATAGTATGGACGATCTCAGGCCTGGCGCCTTGTATCGTGGCGTGAATTGATTATATAGCCATGACTGACCATTTGTGCAAGCCCAATTTGTCAGTAACATCTCTTTGTTTCCTTGTGTTTTATGCGTGTATTTATGGCCGCTCTCTCCAAAAGTGTATACATATTTTGTAGCTTGTGAAAAAAGTTAGGTTTGACTTGGATAGTTTCAATGTTTCTGTACATACTGTAGCTTAAAAGTTTTGTTTCGTTCAATATCAGCTAAGCTTTGTTCAGTTTATTTCCTCTCATGCCTTCTCTGTATCCTTCTTCTTCCTGTTCATCTCTGACACATTTCAGTCACGATTGTGACAACTTGGTATGATGGTATCGGAGCAACGATTCCGAGGAAGAGGCTCGTGAGTCGTGACTAAGGTTGAGAGTTCAAAGTATAATAATAAGTCAATCATCTTTTATTAGAACAATAAGGTACATGAGAAAGGGGTTAGCTATATCTCGATTATGTGCTTGTTATCAGAACAATAGAGATGATCCAGCTTTTTGGGGTCCTTCTGAGATATGGAAAACAGCAAAGAACGATCGGATTATTACTGGTGTTCCTCTCACTGCAGAGACTACGGAGGGAGTCGTACACATGGTTCCTTTCCCATTACAATAACAGACCCCAAACTTCCTCTCGATGGAGAGTCAAGAACAGTTACAAAGTAGACATTTCTTCAACCCTTGTGCGAAACTCTTTCAACAATGTGAATAAAAGATTCACAGCAGAAGATGCAGGGGAAGGGAAAACAAGAAACCAATCTCGAAACAATTCGGGAGAGAGCTCTGCTGATCCGTGTCTACTCTTCATCATCCAATTCTTCATCGTTCTTGTACGAAACAAGAGTGTTCACCTTGTGAATCTGCACAAGCCACCGTGGTCACACAAATCAGCTCAGCATCAACCTCACCAAATTTAATGCTGCTATTCAGATGTCATGGTTACTGGCAGAAGCTATAAATCATTCTTGCAACTAATCAACCTAGTGCCTTGAGCTGGCTTTACCTACTACTGGATTTCAACCAATGATTGAGCTTATGATTGATGGAAGAAGAACGAAAATCTCGAGTTCCCAAGCTTTTTGTTACCTTGGTATCAAAAGAATGCAACTTCACCATTTGTGGGTTGGCAATCAGTTTGGCATCGCTACTCTCCATCCAAGTAAAAGGGACGGCTACATCAGTATCCGTGTATGCCAAGACATCAAATACACCTAATGGAACAGGCAATAAAACATTAGACAAAAGGAATTTAGGCTCAATGAACTCTGTATGTAAGCATAATGCTGAAGGCTTCAAGGACTTCAAGACTTGGATAATTCAAAAATCACACATTGTTCATCCAGGCATGGCAAGTAAGTAATGCTGGAGGCAATCTGGCGCATGATTGCCTGTATCTCTCTCATGATCTCTTTATCACTCTTCTCCCTGGAAACCCTGGTGAAAAGATCACATCATATACGGCACCAATCAGAATGAGACATTAAAACTCTTGAAATCCTAGGTAATGGCGTTGTTTGGCACTCACCCTTTCTCCACAACCTCATTGTCAGTCTCAATGCTGAAATTCCACCTCTCTAGAACCTCGCCAGTATTCATGCTCATTATCACTAGAACAACTCTCTGCAACTTCCCAGCTTCCAGCCATTCTACAGAAGATAATTCAGGAACCCTAAATTTCAGCCATCAATGGTTTTATTTTAACCAACAACCAATCAAAGAAAATTTGGCAATCAGTCAAAGTGTGCACTGAAGTCTTAATGGAGAGACACTCCCACAGTAAACTTCCAATTCATCTACATCTCTAACCCCAAACAGTTGGTTCTCTCTTTTTCGTCAAGTTTTTCCTCCCTTTTCCAAGCAACCAAACAGAAAACTCCAGAATTGAGAAACTGAGGAACGAGCAAGATGTTACCTGACAACTGAGCATTAAGATTGGAAATAAAGGATTTAACACCTTCATCCTTAGTGAGCAGCATGGGAAGCCCATATTTCTTGACCCTGGCAAAGCTCTCTTCTGGATAAACCGCGCGATTGTACAGTATACTGTACCAAACCACAAACCAAAAAAAAACACACCAAGAAAACCCATCTCACAAAATCAATCTTCCAAATCCCCAGACCAAAAAAGTAAAGATCGAGAAAAAAGGAACGAAAAGGGTGCCGCAGATTACCTGTTTGCTGCATAGCCTGATGAATAGGGTTTCCCAATAAAACCAAATCCAAGGAAAAGCAAACCATCAGTCCCCATATTTAGATCTCACAACAGAAACCCAGAAAGGGAATCGAATCGAAGGGGAAAGAGGGTTACCGAAAAACTCGCTGACAATGGCGGCGGAGCCTCTGAGCGTGATGATATCTTTTGCTGCTGTTTTGGACGCCATAACGAAAGAAACAAAGGCAAGGGTATCTAATCTGTTCTCTAATTCGAAGTTGCGAGAAACAAAGTTATCGATTGAGATTGCTTTTGCGAAGAGAGCGGAAATGGCGATTGTCGACGAGAACTATGAAGGAATAAAGGGGGAGGGCGGGTAACGGCTAGTTTTGCCGGCACTGTGCCGTAGTGGGGTATGGACTTAAGTGGAGGGGGGAGCATGCTTTGGAAATATGAGCAACGGTTACTTTCAAAATTGCGCTAATCTAGATAATAAATAAAAGCCGAATGATGAAAACTGTTGCTCCATTTCAAATTTCCTGCAACGAGAGTGATTATAGGAAAGACATTTTGGTCTTCACAATTGCTTATTTTCTTATTTATTTATTCATAAAAAAGGCATGCACTGGGATTTGAACCTTGGTCTCTTTAAAGGCAAGCAAGGATCATAACCAATCAAACTAAGTATATTTGTTGTATCTATTTAAATTCAAACATACACGAACCTAAATTATGAAAATCATATGACTTTTTTAACGATTAATTGGCCACTGAATCTCCCGTAAGTACTTATTTGGTGTTTTAATACTTTAATTATTTTAGTTGTAGTTTAATACTTAATTTAAATTTCTATCTATTTTATAAATATACAATAACCCTAAAATTGCAGCCCAAATATCACTGGTTCGAATATTGCATATCGAATTGCAATATTAAACATGTAGAAGCAATATCGACTTCTTAAATTAATATTATTTTTCAGAATTACTATGGAGAAATTATATCTTTGTGCAAACTATATGAGACTGGTTCTTTTAATGTTTTAGTCGGGATAACCGCTACATTTTAAAATTCTTCATAATCTGGCATGATTGGATCCAATGATCATTATACAAGATTGTGTTTAATAGGGTGGCTCATTTCACCACTTTTTGGCGTGTTAATGAATTTGTAGGACAATGACAGGTCTACATCTACACTCATCACAATCTACACATCATATAAATGTGAAATGTGAAATGAGAAAAGAGGGATTCCATTTCAAATTTGATGCGTACAGAGCAATTTTTTAGGGGTAAATTTAGAAGATGCCAGTGCGGTCGGTCTGTTGAGCACGAAAGTAAAAATATATTTTCATTTAAACGGGCCCAAACTGTTATTTGGCCCACTAATCGTGCACACATCGCCAATGCAGTCAAATTCAGGATTTTGATCGTAAAATCGTAGGATTTTAGGATTTTACTTAGGGATTCTGATCTTGATTTACTATAAAATCGGTGGACCTTAAAATCGTTTAAAATCGGGATTTTGATCGTAAGAGAACAAAATAGGTGGTTTGAGCCAATTTAAAATAAGTATAATTGTTTCAGCGGAAAGGGCAATGGAATCTTCTCAGATATTTTTCTATTAGAAAAATATTCAAAAATAATAAAAATAACCAAATTAGGGTTCGGTTAATCTCTTTCCCTTCACCCCATTTAACTTATTGGTAAAACACCTGTCCTAATATTGGAAGTATGTAAGAACTAACATCATTATTAACTAATTAATTTATTAATGAATATATTTGTACCAAGCCACTAACATTACTTATTTTATTGGAGTTCAATTATTTTTAGTTTTAAATCATACTTAGTAGATGATGTCGAAATATTACTTTGAGTTAAACAACCTAGACATAACATGAAAATAAGAGCCAAACCCATGAACTATATCCCTTCATCATGAATTATTTTGAGTTACACATTAAATAACAATTAAAATAGTGATTTTGGAACATTAATCTTGAGAATTATCTTATGGAAAAAAAATCTTCTGAATTATCATTTTAAATGCTATGTGTCTTTGTGATATTAATAATTTACCTTATTAATATCCTTATATGCTATGTTCTATATGGTACTTAAAATCCTACGATTTTACGATTCGATTATACGATTTTGATTTTACCCCAGTTTTCGATTTTAGGTAAAATCTCGATTTTAACTGATTTGCCCATCGCAGCCTCTCCAAATCTTCCTATTCTACTCGCCGGGTCATCTCCTCCACTACAAAATATCTCCTCATGTACTCAAAGTTCTCACTGAAACCTAATATCTACAACTTAGGCGCAGAGGGAGCAACCGATGGATTGTAGCGACCCCCACTATTTTGATAGCTAATCAAGAAGAGCGCGTTTGTTTAGTTGTATGGTGATTCACTTAATTAACAATTTTTATTCCGTTGACAGCCTCCTCTCCGCAATTGTATTGTGTTCACGAAGATCTGAAGGCGCAAGTGCAACAGGTCCAGGGGTAAACAATATGTATAAAGCGTTGGCCAAATTGAATTGAGTCATTCTACTTGGAATATGAAGATTTTTGCTTAATTGCTTTGGTTCGTGATGCAACTATGTTATGTTTGAAGGTAGACCAACGCAAACAACAGCACAGCTCCAGGGCTATTCTGCACATTAGGTAGTTGGGGCATTAATTGATAATTATTTGGGATTATTCCTACAAGTACATAATTTGGAACGTGCCTTTATATTGCATTGATTAATAGTTGTTTGAGATTTTTCAAATGAGTGATTTGACATGTTAAACTCTCTTATTTTTGAAAATGGAGTCTTCGAAGTGGAATATGAAGATTTTGGATTAAGCTTGGTTTCGTAACGCCCTTATGGGTGTTTATTCTCTAAAATGCAGCTGTCTTTCAAAGTGCCCGTTGCAAATGGCAAGTCAGGATACAACGATGGTACTGGTACACGTTTATATCATTAGTAGGTAGCAGATTGTGTCCATTCTACTATATCATTTAGCTAAATACTTAGTTGTTCTTTTCAACTAAAAATTATGCTTAAATGTTGTGATTGACCTCAGAAATGTATGTCTTTGCATTAACTGTTAATGATTGTGAGTTTTGGTTTAATGGTGAAAAGTCCATTTATTTAGAAGTCTAAATTGGGCAAACCTTTTGGACAATAGGAATGCCATACATTAGTGTCGTGGGAGGTTTGTTTGATGTCTCAGGGTTTTAGATTTTTAAGAAGGTTGTTTGTTGTGGTAGAGAGTCCTTAAAGCTAGCGAGGTATTCCTATGTGGGCTTTTTCTTTGTTTGACTTTTTCTCGCCTTTTTTCTTATCTCTTTTTCTATTTTTGGTTTTTGTGTGCTACCTTCAGTTGCTACGTCTTCATTTGTGAGCCATCTATACTTTTCTTATTCAGTGCCTAAAAATCATATATACTCGATTGCATAGTAGTTACTAATAGATACATTTATACCAATAGAGAGATTTTAAGTTTTATCAGTTGTTAGTTTTAATATTTACTTACATTGGTTGTTTATGTAGTTTTCTTTGTAATATTTCTCATTATACAACTAATTACTATGGCTACGTAGTTGTATAAGTGGGGGTTGGACATGATAGTTCTTAGAAGCATCAATACTTGAAGGTTATTATAATGACCAAATTCTAAAGTTATGGTTTGCCTTCAACTTGCTTGGAGCATTTCAATTATGCATCAATTGTTCTCTCCGTGTAGTTAACTCTCAGACAAATCGAAAATCTTGCTGATATGTGCTTGATTGTAGTTAAATTTAGGGTTCTACTGCATTGTTGCTTTACTCTTTTTTCATAGTTGAGTCTGCTTCCAAAAATTTAGTTTGATTTTAGAAAATTTTGCTTCTGCAGTCCTGTCTGAGGCGAAGGCTATTTTTGTGTTGTTGTTGCTGGTTTAGGGATCGGTTTGTGAAGAAGAGGGAGAAGAGAGGGGGAAAGGGAAATGCAGGAGAGGGGGATAACTCTTTTCTCCGACAAAAATGGAGTGAAGAAAGGAATTATGATCAGTAAGAATATGGTTATCTTACACAACGGTCTCTATTCTGTTTGAATTGAGCTTGAGAGGTAGTGATAAGGACGAGCTGCAACCAATTCATAGTGAGAAGAGAGCTATGAACTGTGATCATGTCTTATTTCAAGTTAGAAGGTAGTTTCAGTATAAGGATTATTTAATTTGACAAGTTGTTTCGTCCATGATTCTTGGTAGTTTCAGTGCCATTCTAGCCAATGTTTAGTCTGTAATTTTTGAGAATTGATGTGCGAGTAATGACTTTCACTTAGCTTCAACTATTATGTGTGTATTTATTGGCATGTGATAGAATTCTCTTTTCCTTTTCATTGAATTCATTTTCATACTCTAATTGTATTATTTGTACATAGGCAAATCATGCTCGAGATGGCAACTCGCTGATATGGCTGGTGCAAGGAATGAAGCCATCATTAGAATTCAGACCGACAACGGGGAGGGATGCCCAGGACTAATTCAATGATGATTGATGATGGTATAATAAAAACTGCAGTCTGCATCAGCACCAATTTCTAGGCCTAAGTAAAGGTATTCAACCCAGAACTCTGCTTAGCGCTAAAAATTGCCCTCACCCAACCTTGATTCTGTTTGACCCACTACTGAAGAGTCAAGATATATGACTAATCCTCCCCGTTCGTATTTTCTTATTGACTCTTTCTGACCCTGTAGGTTGGGGCGGGTCGGGAAGAATTGGATTAGTGGGTCGGTCCTAATCAAGTGGAATCTCAATCCCTTCACTCTCACTTGCTTTCTCTCCCATTCCACAAGTGGGTAACATACAGTAATTCGGCCAACGGGCCGGGTAATAAGCTAGTTAGTTATTACTTTAAAACTGAATCCAATCCAAGAAGATTTATGCCTCATTTTGTTTTTTATTTTTCATTGCCCAACAAAAATAAGGAGAAAATGTGTTCATTTGTAATTCTGGTTTTTGTTGGGAAAGCTAGGGGTGATTATACGGTCCGGTCTGGTTAAATTGGACTGAATTGATTCTATTGCAGTTCGGTTTTTTCGGGAATTTAAGGACCAAAGATTAAATTGGATACAGTCCGGTCTTGACCCGGTCCGGTCCCAATTCGATCTTCATTTTAAATTTAGTTTGTGATGATTTGAGTGGCCTGAGACCTGAAAGAGTGAGGAGTTGGTTAAATTTTGGGTGTGGCTCTTAGCCGGTCTTTATCGGGTTTTCGGTCCGCTCTCGAACGGTTTTTTTACCTCAAATCTAAGTCCGAAGATGGGATTGGATTGTTTGCAATCCGGTCCCGGTTCAGTCTCGGTCCGGTTTAGGGTAAAACCAAAAAGGTTGGACCAAATAGCCACCCCTAGGGTGAACCATTTGGTAAATAGGTAGCTGAGCCAAAACAACAAAATTCAGTTTCTTGGAAAAATTGACACGGGTTTCTCTCTATTGCCTAGAGGAAGAATGCTCACTGTAGTTAAATGAGCTCCATTCTTCGAGTCCCCCAACCCCAATTTTTATTCTTTTGCCTCTTTGAAACCCTAATTCCATTCTCGCCTTCCTCCATAGCAGGGGTGTTCTCTTTTTCTTTTTTGTAGAAAGATCAACGCCGTAGCGTTTAATTCGTATTAAGGGCTAAACGATCATGGAAAATTCCCACTATATCATGGCAAAGTCAGTGACCAAGTATATGGTCGTACACATTGAAACGATGTGTACCAAAATTAATAGAATGACCCCTATTAGCAAGGTAGTCAGCAACAAAATTAGCCTCTCTAAACACATTAGAGATTCTCACTTCCCAATCGAGGTTAAGAAGATGAGTAAACTGTATGGCAAGAGTGTCATGGCGATGGCCAGCATCCGAGTGGTTCTTAATGAAGGCTTGTTTGCATTTGCCGAGATGATCACGAATGAGACCACCTGCAGCATTATTACCTGATGGTGATAGAACAGATCCGCTGTTGTAACTCTTCTCATGCAGAATAGTAGTAATTAAGGCACGTTGATTGGCCTACACAATGATGTTGAGCCAGGCTTTGATGCGGCCAGTGAGTCCTTGCTCTGAGAACTTGTTGTCGTCAAGCACTTCTTCATTCCTTAGCTTCCAAAGGTTCCAACAAATAACCTCAAAATCCACCCCTTTCTCCTCATTGCTGATATTAATGAGGACCCATCCTGAATGGGGAATTAAGGTTGGTGGAAATGAGTTTCTTTTTGAATTTGTGCCACGCTCCTGCTGCTTTCCCACAATTGCGAAGGATATGCTCGATGGTCTCCTCCTTGTCTTGGCAGCTATTGCAGTGAGCACTCTATCATGTAGGATCGACCAGAGGAAGTGTTTAATCCTGTTTGGTCCTTTCCATTTCCAAAGAGATTTCCAGCTATGATGAGTGCCTTCCTCCTCCTCCACATTTGTAGCAAGGTAGTAAGCTGATTTCAGCCGGAATCTGCCATCCTATTCCAATCCCTAGATCATCTTGTCCTCTCCCAGCTCAGGATTTGGAGTCTCCATTCCTGCAATAAGAGATAGAATATTTTCAGGGAGAAGATTACTAAGCCTATTCCAGTCCCACTCACTTGCATTTGTGACCCAGTTTTCCATAGGGGACTCTCTTTCCTCGGCAGAAAGATCATTAGTAAGGAAATCCTCCAGCACAAGGCCATTCTCGATCCAGGGATGCTTCCAAAAGAAGGTAGATTCTCCATTTCTGACGCTCCAGAAGGAAGCCTCTTTCATAAGTGGCATTGCTTGAACAATGGCTTTCCACAGGCTCGAATGATTGGTTTTCTTCATCGAAATGATCTCACCATTTCTGTGTTTAAAATGTTTCCCTTGCAGCACCTGAACTCACAACACATTCTCATTGTTCAATATCTTCCAGGCAAGCTTTATTAAGACAATGAGCATATCTCAATCCAAGCCCCCTTGTTTCTTAGGTTTACAAATGTTCTCCCATGAAACAAGATGAGGCTTCCTTTTGCCATCCTAAGATCCCCAGACAAATCCCCTAATCTTCCTATCAATCATATCACACACAGTCAGGGGAAATGGGGTTGTTTGCATAGCATAGTTAGGGATAGCATTAAGGACTAAGGTAGCCAGGGTGACTCCTCCAGCAAGGGAGAGAGTTCTGGCTTTCCATGTAGTAAGGATCCTGTCAATTCTATCAATGATGTACTTGTAGGTGTTCTTAGTAATCATACCATGGAGGACAAACCCCCAAGATACCTACCAAGGTCACTGGTTTCTTGAATACCAAGTCTGGAACATATAACCTGTCTAGAGGCATGCTTAACATTCGTAGAAGAAGAAAAAAACACTCCAGACTTCTCCTTACTAACAAGTTCACCGAGGCATTATAGAAAGAGTCAAGGCATTTCATCACAACCTCAGCTTGAGTAGGACAGGCATGAGCAAACAAAACTAAGTCATCAGCAAAGAAAAGGTGAGAAAGGACAGGGCCACCAAAAGACAGAGAAACGAGTTTCCAATTCCCTTTCCTAACTTCCTGATTGATGCAATGGCTAAGCCTTTCGACGCCAAAGTAAAGAGATAGGGAGAGAGGGGACATCCCTGACGAAGACCTCCGGTTGGAGTAAAGCTCTCTATTTCATCTCCATTCCACAGGACTTGAAATGAGGTAGTGGTAACACAGCCATAATCAGCTTGATACACTCCAAGGGGATATGAGTAGCAACCAAGGTTTCCTCGAGGAATTTCCAGTTGATCCTGTCATAAGCCTTTGCAAGGTCCACCAACAACATACATCCCTTCTTTCCAATTTTCTTGGACATAGAGTGCACAGTTTTTTGAAGGGTGATGATGTTGTCAGTAATGTGGCGCTTGGGAACAAAGCTCAACTGGTTTGGTAACACAAGATGGGTTATGAGCTTCTTCAGCTTGTTGGCAATGCTCTTTGACACCATCTTATAGCTCACGTTACAAAGACTAATGGGTCTGAACTGGTTCATGGACGAGGGGGACTCCACTTTGGGAATCAGGGCAAGGAGTGTATCATTGATACATTTGAGTCTTCGTGGATCCCTGAAACAGGCAGGCAGCAATGAAATGAAAAAATCCAAACCAACAGTGTTCCAACATTTTTGAAAAAAAGGACATGAAAACCATATTTGCCAGGGGCTTTCAGTCCATCATTTTTATAACAATTGACTTGATCTCAACAAGAGTTAGTGTGCTTTTGAGAGGTCTGATCCACTCATCCTCCATGGTAGGAAAGTTAGTAGCGATCCTCTCATTGCAATCAGGGAAGTCATCAGTGAAGAGCAGCACTTAGTGCTCTCTTGCCATTTCCAGAAGTTCATCAAGATTTGTCACCCTTTGCCCCAGGTCATTCAAGAAGGTAGTCATTGGAGGCAGGAAATTGTTGCTTCCATTCAATGTTACACAAGCTCCTGTCCAGTCTTTCTTTGATGCGATTCTTGCTAGTGAACCAGGTAAAATTAGGACCAGAGTAGTCGAGATCAATGAGACCACATTCAGCAATGCAATCGTTAAATCATCTGACTCTAGCAAAGTTGAAAGGTGATCCTCCCTGCTTCTCCGAGTGTTTAGTGATTGAGTTGAAGTCCCCGGTAAGGATCCAGGGGAGGGTAACATTTCTCTCAATGCCCTTCAATTTATTCCACGTATCTCCTCTATCGTGTTCATTAGGGCTAGCATAGACAACAGTGAGCAAGAATTTGTCCCTACCTCCCATTGAACACTCATGTGGATGAACTGCTTGTTCTTATCAATGAGTCTCGGTTTCAGGGTGGTACTATCCTAGAGGACCCAGATCCCACTACTAAATCCCACTGCATCAGACACCTTAAACGAGTCACATCCCAAGTTCTTGGATTACCTTGTCTTCATCCTCTCCACTAATTCTAGGCTCGAGGATGCAGACAATATCAGGGTTGAAGTTAACCCTATACAGCTGAAGAGTAACACAAAATTTTGGGTGTTTGGCACCCCTGCAATTCCAGGAAAGAATCTTAACCATAAAAAGGTTGGATGGCTTCCATGTGACCACCAGTTGGTCCAAATTAGCACTTGTCGACGGCCATAACCTTCTCCTGTTCTCCCAGAATACTACTGACTGCAGTATCCATTGGCACATGTACATTTTCAGGCATTGAGCTTGCTCTTCCCTTCAGGTTATAAAACTCAATCTTCCTGGGAATCCCAATTTCATCTCCTTGAGACTTCTGAGATTCCTTGGTGTTGATTTTTTCATCTTTACCGGCACCTGGTTGCTTCATTTTGGGCAGGTGTCCTGCTTTAGCCTCCACTGAAGAGCCCTTGGTAGTCCCTTCCCTGCTACTGCCTGGAGATGACAGGCCTACACTCTGTTTCCCCTGTTTAGTTGTGCCATAAGGAGGGACAGTTTTGTTAAGTGGAATCACAGCCTTCTACCTATCGGGGTGGGGGGGGGGGGTAATGGAAAGCACTTGGGGACTCGGGGTCTTGGCAGTGGCAGACCGAGGATCATCAAAACTTCACTTTAGAGTATAATATGCCATTCTACTATGATATTTTATCAAACATGCCCCTCTACTATTTTTTACATCAAACATGCCCTTGTACTTAGGAAAACTTATCAAACATGCCCTTTTGTTAAAGGTTTAATTCACTTGCATAGCCATAACTATTTACGTTTTGACAATTATAGCCACTTTTTGAAAAATACACAATTGTAGCCACATTTTGGAAACTCGTTTGCCAAAAATAGCCATTTCCGTTAAAATTTTTAACACCGTTAACAAAACGCTAATGTGAATGTCACCTCAATTGCCACATCAACTCCAACACACCAAGTCATGCCACTAGCCTGCCACATCATATTTTAATTAAAATAAAAATAAATTAATAATAGAAAAAATAATAAATCATCTCCTACAACTTTACTCTTTCTCTTCTTCTTCTGGCTTTCGTCTCCAGCTTTCCTTCCTCTTTATTCTTTCTTCCTTCTTCTTTTATCAATTCTTCTTTCTCTTCCCTTAATCGATATCCAGATTCCTTCATTCTCCATTCAATTCGTGGAGAATAGAATCAGAAAAGGTCTAGGTCGGCTTCTCCGGTTGCGGTGGAAGATTTGGCTGCCTTGCTACACCGCCGCCGCCACACACTCAATCGCCCACCGAAAAACCCAATCCCCTATCGCAACCCCGATCCCCGAATCCTCCCCACTGTAAAACCCAAACCCCTAATCTCCCATTGCCAAATATCACGTCAATAGAGGCGGCATGTTATGTTTTGTCCATGCTTTTGACGATTATTTCAGATCTGTCAGCTCTAGCTCCAGGTTTGGGAAATTGGGTAGATCGAAGCTTCTTCTTCCGTGTCCCTTTTGGCCGTCGTCGACGAATGTTTCGTCGGAATCACCGATTGAGAGACAGAGACAGGAGGTAAAAGAGGGGTTTCTAGATCTAGTGATTGTGGAAGTCCGGGAACCTGCTTCACCGGAGCCACAACGACAGTAATATCAAGACCAAAGCCACAACCCACAAAACCAATCTCCCACAACCCAGAACCCTTGTATTCTCTTTCACTCGACCAAGAAGACCCCCAAACCCAAATCTCCATATTCGTCAGTGGAGATTGCATAGAGAGTAACTCCAGATTCGTTGGTGTATATCGATTTTCGTGCATGCAACAACACGGAGCTGAATGGCAGGGTAATTGTTGGAGATGCAAACAACATCAATAAATCGATAAGGATTCAAGGTCCACAAGGTGACCGGCAGTGGCGCTGCCGTGTAGTATGTGTTTCGGCGATAGAAGGTGTTGTGGAGTGTTTGAGGAAGATGAAAGGGTGGGGTGGGCCGATGGGGAGATCATTTTTCCTTTTTTAATTTTTATTTAACTTAATGAAAATAAATTAAAAAAATCCAAATATGCAAATTTGTGAAAAATAATGCCACATCAGCAACAAACGTTTGTCTTCTCAGCATTTGTGACTTTTCCGTTAAAGTATTAGACGAGTGTATTTTTCAAAAAATGGCTATTATTGTCAAAATCGTGAAAGTTATGGCTATGCAGGTGTATTAAACCTTTGTTAAAATTATCATCCAAAAATCGTTAACCAAGACCGAACTTTGGTTTGGGCGACCCAAATATCTAAAATATCCCTAATAATTTCACTTTAGAGTTTTTTTGTTCTTTTGTATAGCCAATAATTCTAATAATTTTACTTTGACGAGACCTAGAGAAATAAAACGAGAGTCAAAACTAACATTTTCCCTCCCATTTATCGATGTCAGGTCGTCTAAATCTCGGTTCAACCATGATTGTCGATTTTTTCAATGGGAATTTCAACTTAAGGGCATGTTTGATAATTTTTCCAAATTACATGGGCATGTTTGATGTAAAAAATAGTAGAGGGGCATGTTTGATAAAACATCATAGTAGAGGGGCATATTATACCTATAACCCTTTATCTTATTGAGACTTTCAAATACAAATTTTTATCATGTCGTTGCATTAACGGGAGCACTACCAATTCAATGATTCCACCAAGCGATGAATTGATTAATCTGTCAAGCATTGTTGCATTTCTTGTTTATGGGAAAATATTTTTAGGGCACAATTCAGAAATTTCCATTCCCTTATGGGAAAAAGAGTTAACTATATTGGGGTAGACCACTAAAAATAACTTTCAAATAACCTCCATATTAGCCTGCAACCACTCCCATCTTAACTCCTTCTCACTAAAAATGGTCGTCACCAAAGTTGGAGATATAATGAAACTCACAAACTCGCAGGGATCTCACAATTCTAGATGAAAATGGCCAATCACAGCAAACTTATCATCAAGCTTAATATTCATTACAAACTTCAAGGGATTTACCAATTGCTAATATGGAAAGCTAAAATTTACCACTTACTTTGTTCTAACTATATCGTAAAAAATCAATCTAAATGTAATAATTAAAAAGATGTAAATGATCAAATACAAACTCATTAATAACAAATATATATCTCCAAACAAATTTGTGGTTGATAATAGCTTACATTGGCATATGAGAATGGTTGAAGGCTATTATAATGACCAAATCTTTTTTTTAAGTATTTCTTTAAATTTTTTAATTAAATAAAATACTTCATTCTACAAATATATAATTACTTGTTGTGAAAATATAATTTTACAAAAAAAATTATGATTGCTAGAAAAAATAGTCATGAGAATTGAAAATATATATGGCCATTTGGATCATGGGCGCTGCAATTGGTGGCAATGGATATGATTGCCTAATACTTTATGTAGATATTTTAACATAAATGAATTTTTTTAATCCACAACTATAAACATTTTCATGAATAGGTGTATCGTCATTTCTACCACCAAGTTAAAAGTCACTCAATCAATGCACTCAGTACTCAACTTTGAATACCATATGAAACATTATATTTCAACCTACTTCCACTAGTGGGACAAATAATGAGTACTTCTAAACAATACAGAAAAGATTTCAAATATCCCGATATTATAAATATACCAGTTATTTTAAATGATAAAGCCAAAATTCATTCAACCTACAGAGTGAGTATAAAGGTTGTTCATTCTTCAAACTATTTTATTCGTATGAAGAATCAAAATGTATATCGAGGTTTATCTTGTCTGTGCCTACAAATTTATTTACACATCAAAAAATGGTGAAATGAACCACATGTAATGACATGCTTGCCCCTCCGGAAAGCTCTCTGGTGGCTGGAAATTTGAATCCCTGGAAAGCCAACCCATGTTTTGTCTTTATATCTTTTGTAGATTATTAATTCTTTCCAATTTAATTTTATATTAAATGGTTATTATTTTCGTGTCATGTCTGTTCTTATACTCAATAAGACCTGGAAAATATTAGGCCCGGCACGAACCACCTTGTGCCCGGATGACCTATATATTTCATGTCTGTGTTTATGTCGTGTCGTGCTAGCCCGTGGTACACTCATCACCAAACATATTCTAGAATTTAAACAAGGAAATAACAATAAATATAATGTAGTCTAGTTGGTCAACCGGGCTGAAAATTAATATTAATTTAAGAATTATATATCGCTTTCAAAATGTCCAATACTCCAATTCAATATTCAAACAAATGATATAAGAGTTTCAACACTTCCTCAAATTTTTTAGACAAAAAAATGTCCCCCTCACACACATTTGCAAAGAAATACTAAATCTCAATTTCTTCTTCACTTTACTTGTTTCTAAAGTTATTGTTGACGTTGTTTGTTATTACTGCAAGTAGTAAAAAAGAATTTTCAACTATGAAGTTAATCAAGGATGATTTTATAAATAAATTTTTAGTTGTGTACATTGAAAAATGTTTGAGTCTCAAAATAAACAATGAATGTATTTTATAAAGCTCTTAGAATATGAGTCGTCACACGTTGATGTGAGAAACTACGCATTAATTCAAATTTTATATGCTCTTTTTAGAATTTTTTTTATCTAATGAGTAATGACGCATTTCTGCATAAAAGATGAGTTCGCAAATAAAGACTGTGTGGTCGATCCATATACATTGCCTTCATGGTATGCTCTAACTATGTCGTGCTAGCTCGACCATGTACCTATGTATAGTTATATGCATTATAATAATTAAGTTTCTACCTATTCACAACACCAAGATAAAAACAGTCATAAATGCACCCAATATTCGATTTTGACTACCTGATGAAATACTACATTTGAATAGACTACAATTGATGTCACAAATAATAATTGTACTTCTAAATCATACATAAAATATTTTAAACATCACAGATATTAAGATTAAATTAATTATTATAAAGATTAAAAATTATATAATGAGGTTAATTATAACTCATTTATATGTCAATGTCCTATAAATTGATCAACACATCTGATCCAAAACTGACGAAATGAACATCACATTAAACACGATATCGTCTCATTATTGTCGGGTCCATTCATGCCTGATTAGCAAAAGTTTAACGTTTAGCAGTTAACCAAGCTAAAATTTTAGAGAATTAATCACCTATAGTTTGTAAAAAATATTATTGTTTCGTATTAGTTCTGAAAATTTATATTAATTTAAAGAATTCTACATCGCTTTTTCATATTCAATATTGCAGTTCGATATGCAATATTTCAAGCAATGAAATTTGTGTAGCAATTTTAAGATTACCCATCATTTTATAGGTTATAAAAATTATAAATTATGTATTAAACTTTGTTTTTCAGAAGATTTTATAAGCTATCTAACCGTAAAAATTCCTCTGTTTTCAAATCTTCGCT